CCTGGCGTGTTGTCAGCATAGCTCTGGGCACCCTGCTCTGATCCCATCTTATTTATGGCACATCCTTCCTGTCTTCTCCCTGCTATTATTGCCTGAAACGTTGTAATTTAGATTCCGGCTGTGTTTGATTGCAAACTCTCCCAATCTACAAATTTCAGTGACAAGCACTAGAGCAGCTCATTTACATGCCAAAGTGATCAATCCGGAACTGCTTGTTACACAAGCAAATAAATAAATAACAGATACATTAAAGAATGGGAAACAATCAGCCAAATTAACCAATAGATGTTGAATAACGACAAGCTCTGACATTCTTAACAGAGAACAAGAGGAGGAGGGATGGGACAAGCTTTCCCAGCATTGCCCAGGGCTGCTCAGCACTCATCTATCTCCTCTCATCCCATGAGCCAACAGGGATGTTGTGCATCAATGCCAGGAGACAGTGAGCAAAGGCTGGAGTGTGAAATCCTGGCTTTTAAGCCCCATACCTGGTTTTGCTCCTCACACCTGCTCTGTGTCAGCATCTGTCATAGGAATAACACATCCCCCGAGAGACAGCAATTAAAACATTTTAGACATCACGTGGGAAGTGGCCTTGCAGCCTGTTTTTCAGCTGGCATCTCAGGAAATCCTTCCAGGGCACCTGAACCATCCCAGATTCTGGTTTCATTGATAGAAGCATGGGAGACTTCAGAATTCATGCAAACACTGTTGCGTTGCGCAGGAAGTTTATCTGGTGCTCAGCACCATGGGCTGAGCGTTTTGGGACAGGCCAGCTCAACAGCTTCAAAATCAGTATGTGTCGTTATTCGAGCACCATTAAACCACGAGTGACTGCAGAAGCACAGTGGTCCTGACCTGCTGGTGGGTGCGGGTGGCAGACTGGGATGCTGGTGACTGGCAGCAGAGGTGAGTGCAGTACCTGCCAGTACTGCTGATCTCCCACCACCTGCCTTTGTCGCTGTCTCCTGTACAGTGACAGATAGGTGCTAGCTCCCTGATTTATCCTTCTCTGGCAGCTCCTGCCTGTCACTGCTCAGCACCCCAGGGGATCCCCAGCAGGGAAGGCAGTGGAGGAGCATCTCTCCCTGTTGTCTGCTGTCAGGCAGCTCGTGTGTGCCTGCAGGCACTGCAGATGCAGGGAGGAGGCTTCGCAGGGGTCACTTTTCTTCTATGAAGGGCTGCAAGGCTGGGGTGGCACTGACCTATCTCGTCTGGCACCACCAGGTAGAAGGGCAGCAAGGAGGGGAAGGAGCCACCCCATAGCCCATCTTGAAATGAGGAGGGTTGCTCAGGGTAAAACCCATCTGGAGCGAGGCTGGTCCTGGGTCTGCAGCAGAGCCAGGAGGCCATGACGGGTGCCCTAAATGATGTGTATGCTCACCAGAGTGGTCGGGTTCTGCCAGACCCAGGGCTGTCCTTTTTGGGGCTGGTTTCGGTGCCGCCTGGTGCTCTGCAGAGCACGTACATCCTCTGGCTACTTCAGCATACACCCACTTTCCCCTCTGCCTTGGGCCTGGCCCTGTTTCATGTCATCTGGGGGTCCCCTCCGTTGTCCTTGCCCCTTCTCCATGCTGGGGCCTGCCGGTGCTGGTGTTGGTGGAATGCTGCTGGATCTATATCAGCAGGGAGAAGCTGCCAGGGCTTCGTGACCCCTCGCTTCTCCCATGGCTTGGCCCTCACTGAGGAAAGATCACTTCTCCCCTAGTCTCAGGGGGTGCCAGACTACTCCCAGCTTGGGAGAAGGGCGTTTGTGGCCTCACTGGGGCTGTGTTGCAGGAGGGAGCTGGGTTCTTCTGGCTCCCGACGTGTGCTCGCTGGGTGCCAATGCAGAGATGCCCGTGTGCTTGCTCTGCAGGTGGACATCCTGCGGTGCGGCCTCTGGGGACTCGGGGATGCCCGGGGGTCGCCCCCGCCCCTGCTTTTGGAGGAGAAAGAGGGGCCCTGATGGGGAGGTGACACCAAGCATCGCTGAGGCAGCGCTGCCACCTCGTGGTGTGTCACCTCGCTGCCTGTGCCACGCCGGGCACGGCGGCCTCCCCGTGTCCTTTGGCCACCACCCGCTCCCAGAGACACCCTGATGAGAAGGGGAAGGAGGAGAGTGCCAGGATGGAGGTATTTTTGTGCTGGCAGATGTGGTCTGCAGAAGCCTCTGGGATGAACCTGTGCAATGCTCATCCGTAGCTCCCTGCAGCCAGCCATCCTCTGGAGCTGCAGATGTCCCAGCTGCAGATCAGGAGGAGGAGGAGATGCTCCGAGGATGGGAGAGGAAGGCTTGGTTTGAATGCCCCAACACTGAAAGTCAAGTGAGTGGGGCTAAGCATTGGTCAGGAGTCTCAAGGGTCTGGAGGAGGTGCTGCCTGGACCAACACCAGCTTCCAGGAGATGCTGGAAAGCCATAGCCAGCCCCCTGTAATTCAGCATTTAAATGGGGTTAAGGGGACAGTCAGGGACAAAGGACACCGGAGCACCAGGACAGAGCCATCGATCAATCCTGGATGAAATGATGGAGTGGTCTCATTTTGGCTGTATATTAAGAGAGGGCAGTAGGGCAGAAATACGATTACTGTCCAGAAACACTGTTTTGTGGAAGGTAGGTCTTTTCAAACTCACCTGTCATCTTTTCTTGACACGATTACAGGTCTGGTTGATAGAGGAACTCTGCTGATAGAATAAAATTGCATTTCTTCTGGGCATCAGATTTATTATGGGCTGACATTTCGATTAAAAATGTGTATTATATTGCATTAAGAGGGCATATATTCAATGAATTAAAGACCAGCTCAGTGACAGATCTCCAAAGGTAATTATTAATGGAGATGCACTGATGAGCGAAGTTTTGTTGGGCAAAGGTCTCTGGGGCTGACTTTTGGTTTCGCACTAGCTGTTCCTGTTTTCAGCTGTTTTGGGAACAATGCAACAGCTTCCCTGGGAGCGCTGGAGGCAGTGGGTGCGGGGAATGGAGGGTTTGCCAGCTCCCCTGGCCTTGGGACCACCCTGATCCCAGGCCTGCACACTGTCCTCTTTCCTTGAACACTGTTCCCTGAGCTCCAGCTGCTGCTGCGTTTGCTTTGGGAACCCCAATGCTGCCTTATGGTGAAGGTCAGTGCAGCTGCCACAGGACTCCTGAAAGGAGACTCCAGGAGCATATGGACCAGCAAGCCTCTCCTAGCTGCCCACCGCGTTCCACCATGGTGTGGCCTGGCTGGTGCCCAGGGTCCCAAGGATGTTCACCTGCTGGGGTCATTGCTGCACATCTTATCCGTCTTCTCCCTGTTGTAGTGGGGCTTCGGTACTAGTGGCATTTTTGGGCTCTTTTGTGGTAGAGCTGAATGTGCATCGCTGGGCACCTTCCCTGGGCTCGGTGGTGTGAGGCATTGGCTTTTTCATTTTGCAGGTTTGGGTCAGGCCATGAACAGCTCCTGGGGTTGCCCAGATGTGGCTGGTGCAAGGCACAGCCACTCAGACGGGACCGGGAGTAACCTAGGTGCCAGAGACCTCCATCTTCTCCGGCTCTGCTACAGAGACAAGGTGCCCAAGCCACTGAAGTGAGGGCAGTGGGAAGGAGATGTCTCATCAAGAATGTGCGAGGCCCTGCTGAGCCACACAGACGCTAATGGTCCCTTTGCTGGAGCCCTGCTCCGTCAGGGTGCTGCACCAAGGTGGGCATCTGGAGGGGTCAGCTCCCAGCAGCAGCGATGACAAGGCTGGGTACTAGGGATGGCCACGCTCTGCCCATCACCCAGTCCAGGAGCCGTCAAGAGTGATCCCGGGGCCCTGCCGAGCATCCCTTGAATGGCCGTGCCACCTAGTGCTCACATCCCCTGTCCCCTCCTGCAGTGACAGAGCTGTGGCATGCCTCTGGGCACCCTCCAACTTTGTGTTGCTTTGTGCCCGGTCACTACCAGTCCCTGCTGTGGAGACTGCGCTGCTGGGCCAGGCTGGGAACTCTAAGGTCCTGCACTTTTGCTGACCAAGCTGTTCCCTGACTGTGACCAGCACAGCTAGGGTCAAGCGTGGAAAGGGGAACAAGTTTCTTGGCATAGAAAGCGAAAGTTGCCACTTCTCTTCCCCAACCAGGCAAACCACCCTGCACACAAGTACTTCCCCCCCACCCTGCTCCTCTTCTTCCCTGCTCCCAAGGAAGGGCTTCCAGCAGAGGTGCTGCTCAGATTGGTCTGTCTTCACCCCCAGCAAGGAGGTAAGTCACCCCAAATAGCTGGGGACACATGCCTCCCCTGCCACCGCTCTCCAGTCCTTGTTCCCTGTCCCCCTCCTTTCTTCACTTCCCTCTTCCACAAGGGTTTAAAGTAGGAAAAGGGGGAGAAGATGAAGGGGGAGGAGGCTGCAGGAATCTGACCTTGCTCCATGTGGTTGTGGACATCACGGGGCTCTTCAGGCTTGTCCCAGGCTGAGTACCCCAGGTTTTGGGGTAGGTCGTGCACTCAGGACCTCCCTCCTCTCTCCTAGCTCTGTGCGTTGGAGATCTGTATCCCTTTTGCGTGCTTATGCCTTTCCTGTTTATCCCTCCTCTGTTGTGTCTCTTTGCACCCCTTCCTGCCTTGTGCTTTCCATCCCATGGGACCACTGCCCTGTACATCAGTGCTTGCTCCTCCAACACTGGAAGAAGCATCCTCTGCATGCATCTGATGCATGACCACCCATCCCCAGGACATGCACCAAAGGGTTTATGCCATGCTCCATGTCCTGGGCTCTCCAATCCCACAGCCCTGCCATGGGCACATGTCAGAGATTTTCAGTAACATCAATGATTTCAGCTTATGCAATGAAACAGCCTCAAAATCCTTCCGTGAAGTTATTTTCACCATTGCATGTGGTGTCCGGCTCTCTGTATTGGACAACACATGGGTGGCGTGGTAGATCTGTGCATGCATCTGATGAGACCACTTGCATGACTGTGTCCAAGGTGCATCTGTGTGTTTGCTGTGTGCTTGCCTCCATCCCCAGTTCCCCCACCCCTGTGCTTGTAGGGAGGCAGGATGCAACCCGGGCTTTGGCTGGCAATCAGCACTCTGGCAGCAGTGCTGGGCACGGCCCTGCTGGAGGATGGTGTGTGCCAGGCACCGAATGGCAACGATGGCTTCCCAGGAGTCCCTGGCCTTGATGGGAGGCCAGGGCAGAAGGGTGACGTGGGAGAGCCAGGTAAGGGGGAGCCAGGTATGTGCGGTGCGGGTGGTCTGGAAGCCTCCGGCCTCTTGGGAGGAGCATCATGGGCTGTGGGAGCAGCTCAGGAGATGCCAGACGTGCATGAACTGCTCCTCTTCACCACTTCTCCCCAGGGAAATCAACACAGAGGACAGGCATCCAGGGACAAAAAGGGGATGTAGGTGACCCAGGGCATCCTGGCATCCCAGGGATCCAAGGCTACCGTGGCTCGTACGGCCCGCCCGGGCTCCCAGGGCAGCCAGGGCCGAAGGGGTACAAGGGGAAAGCTGGGAATATCCTGGAGCAGCCGCGTCCTGCCTTCTCCGCCTCACGGAAGTCCCCACCATCCATGGGCAAGACGGTAGTGTTTGACAACATCATCACCAACCAGGAGAACTCCTACAGTCCCCTGACGGGGGAGTTCACCTGCAGTGTCCCTGGGCTCTACTACTTCGCCTACCAGGTGGTCTCCAGCGGGGACCTCTGCCTGAGCATCACCAAGAACAAGGAGAAGGTGGTCAGCTTCTGTGACTACAACAGCCGTGAGCTCCTGCAGGTGAACTCGGGCAGCAGTGTGCTCAGCCTGGCCGTGGGCGACCGGGTCTCCGTGAGCACCGGCCCTGGCAAGGGCAGCATGATTTACCATGGCTCCGAGGCAGACAGTGTCTTCAGTGGCTTCATGCTCTTCCCGCAGACGGGCTGACGGACTGCCAGTCCGGACCTGCTTAGCACCAGAGCATTGCAATGTGCGTGTCTTGCATGCATTTTCCCCCTGTGAGTGCATGGGATGGTTTAGTGTCAGAGCAAACCAGGACAGCCCCAAATTGAGCCACCAGACAGGTCCTGTGCTTCCACCAGTGTCACACAGTGGGCAGGCTGTGGGTTACCACTGCAGCAGTGAGACCCCTGCTAGCAGTTACCTCCATGCTGAGCCTGCCCACTCCATCCTGGAGGCAGAGGACTCCTGGTGCCAGCAACACTTTGTGCTCCTGGGTGCTCAGACCCCACACCAGAGAGGACCAGTTGTCACTGGGGCCGTTCACCACCTGTGGGTCTTTATTCCTGAGTGGGAAATCACTGCCTGCCACTGCTTCCGCTACACTAACCATTGCAAACACCTTTCTGGCCCTGGGCCAGTACTGCCTCTCACATCCTCCCCATCAGTATGAATAAATACTTCCAAGACAGCCACCTGGGTTTTCTTTCCTATTCATGCATCTTCCCCAAACCATCAATGTCCTGGGCCCCTTCCCAAGCTGCCCAGGGAGAGAAGTGATCTCCATTTGCTCCTGGCCATGCACAGACCCCAACTGCAAAGGCAGGACAGGAAGGAACTGAGTGTACAAGCAGAGCTGGCACCTACAGGAATGGGGAAATCTCTGGGACTAGCCTATGTGTGTCCTTTTCCTGATGAGTCCAAGCTATCTGTCCTGTACAAAGGTAAACACACGCAGCAGATCATGCACCTCACCCACATGGTCCTCTCTTGGTACCCAAAATCTCCCAGGAAGGGGAAAGGCAGCTGTGGCCCTCCAGCCTTTCAGCAAGGAAGGACGGGGACATCAGGGTGACCGCTGGGGCTGTGGGGTGATGGCGGTGGGGTTGTGGCGCGATGGTCTCCTCTCTTCAGCTTTGGGTGAGACTAGTGGGAAGTAGGGCAGGCTGGGCACGTATCAGGCAGCCAGAGAGCATCAGGGAAGTCGTGCAGGTGCCATACCCTGGGACTGCTGCTCGGAA